CGTAACAATATCATCAAATAAAATATTTATGCCAGAAATTATCTACAATAAGCTTTGCAGTTAACGGTGGGCTCAGCACCTGTCACAAACCTGAGATAAAAAATTTTTGTCAGATCTGCTGGTATATAAAAGTTCTAAACGCATTAATTCCGCTTTCACATATCACCTGCATAATCAGATCTCCCATATGACATCTGAAATTTTGAGATTGGGAAAGTTCGAAACCTCGATGTCCTCAGCCAGCAAGGAACTCTTCTCTGAAGGCTTCACCTGTCAAAGGTCTGCATTTTTGCGGCGTGCATTGCACCCAGCGGCGGCAGTCCTAATTATTCAAACGGTTAAGATTTTCCAGTTCCATCATCTTCCATTGTAAACTCATTTACTCTTTATTATTTTCTTAGAAAGTTTTCAGTTCTAGCTCAGTACTTTCAATGCTGGCTTCTGTTTAGGACCATGAGACTGCGAGATAGTGGATACTGGCTATTCCTACCAAAGCCTTGGCGAGGGCGGAAAATCGTCAAAGGAATCGACAAGTAAGGATTGATACAGTTCTTGAGTAGTGTAGTGTCCGCTCGTTGTTTTGTGATGCGAAATCAGTTAATTTATGTCTTAATTTTCTGTAAGACAGTGATTCAACATTTTCTACAAAGTAACAGTCGTTCTTCCGATGGCAGGATTGTGCTAGTCTAGAAATAAACAACCGCACTTTGTTATCTTTCCCTGGGAAAGCGCACAATTGTTTCATGAATATAAACTTTGAAATTGCACTTTTCTAGCAAGTTGTGACACATTTCTTCATATTTCGCCATTATGAAGCTCTCCTGATCTTTGTTTTACGCATATACTTTGATTATACGAAAGATTTATGATATGTTCTTCCAGAGGAACTTCCGTCAGCAAAAGCAAGAGACTTGAGAACATCCTTGATTTGAAGTTACGTAAGAAGAATCGTCGCAATAGCAAGATCGATTACACCAAAGGACAGTCACTCTTTGTTTTACCCAAGTAAATTTCATTTCTCGTTTTAGTTCAAAGTGGATATGTGAACTTTTGCTTCAAATGGTCTTTTCCTTTTACTGCAGAGTTCTCTCACGAGGTATTCATCTCTGGCCGGAATACGAATCTCGTCTTCAGCGATGGTTGAAGAGCAAGAAGCTCCACGATTCGTCTACCTCTGTCATTCACAAGCATGAAGAAAGCAGGGGTTCGTTCAGTCAGTTTTTTATGCACCCTAGTGATTATCTACCATTTTTTCAGCTTCTGTCGGCTCTTCACGACGTGATTCCCTTGACCAAACTTCCTTCTATGAAGAAGATCCAATACGGGGATTCTACACAATATGGAATTTTAACAGCGTGAAAGTTCCTAAGAACAAGCTTGAAACTACAGAAAAGGTACGTTTTGTAATTCTGACACTTCTTTGATTTGCTATTTCTTTCTTTTAAGTTCTTGTTATCTACATTTGAAAATTATTCTGTATAATTAGTCAGAAAACCTTTTTCTACAAATGATTCCTGCGAAGAGAAGTCTCTCAATTCAAATTATGTAAATAGCACTTAGGTTCTATTCGCTCAGTTCCCCAAGTGTGAGATTTCGGGATAGTGGAGGTGTTGTATACCCATTTTGCAGTCAATTTGTGCCAAATTTTGAAAAGATGCAGATGCATTGAACTGATCTGTTGCTCAAAATTTCCTATGGGCTTTCTAGAAGGGCTATGGCTGCCGGAAAGTTAA